GGGCACACTGCAGTACACAGAGACAGGTGAGACAGTCCCACTGAGAGAGAGATAGGCCCACTGCAGTACACAGAGACAGGCGAGACCGTCCCACTGAGAGAGAGACAGGCGAGACCGTCCCACTGAGAGAGAGACAGGCGAGACCGTCCCACTGAGAGAGAGACAGGTACACTGCATTACACAGAGACAGACGAGACAGTCCCACTGAGAGAGACAGGCGAGACAGTCCCACTGAGAGAGAGACAGGCACACTGCATTACACAGAGACAAGTGAGACGGACCCACTGAGAGAGACAGGTACACTGCAGTACACAGAGGTGAGACACCCACTGAGAGAGAGACAAGCGAGACAGGCACACTGCAGTACACAGAGACAGGTGAGACGGACCCACTGAGAGAGAGACAGGCACACTGCATTACACAGAGACAGGCGAGATAGGCCCACTGAGAGAGAGACAGGCACACTGCAGTACACAGAGACAGGTGAGACACCCACTGAGAGAGAGACAGGCGAGACACAGACCCACTGAGAGAGAGACGGGGGAGACACAGACCCACTGAGAGAGAGACAGGTGAGATACACCCACTGAAAGAGACAGGCAAGACAGACCCACTGAAAGAGAGACAGGCAAGACACAGACCCACTGAGAGAGAGACAGGCACACTGCATTACATGGAGACAAGTGAGACACACCCACTGAGAGAGAGACAGGCACACTGCAGTACAGACACAGTTGAGATGCAGACACTGAGAGAAACAGGCAGGCAATGCTGTGGCAGTAGCACTGTTGCATGTAGTTGAAGATTTTATTCCAAACGCAGTGTCTCTAGTTTAACTACCCCACCCCTGATCAACAGGCGTTTGAGGACAACAGCCATGAAAATAACAACGCCTGTCAACAGCAGTCTGCGTCTTCAGTTTAATAATCCGTTTGGCAAGAGAATAGAAATATGAAAAATGAGAAATAAAGAAGTTGAAAAAAATCTCTTTAAAGGACATCCATCCCTCTTCCTTTCATCATTCCGAAAATTCATTTTTAACAATAATAAGCATCATAACAATAATCAATCATTTAGATATTTATAGATATATATTATTTTAAAATAAGGTTCTTGTTTAGAAAAAAAGTAGTTTGCTGTTGTTTCCAGTAGACTGGATGTGTATTCCTGTGTCCTAAACTGAGCTGGTCTCCACCCTGCCTTCCACCCTCTCCCTCTCTTCTCTCATCCCTCTCTCCTCTCCTGTCTCTCTGTTCTCTCAGCCCTGACTCACTCTCCTCTCCTGTCTCTCTCTCTCTGTTCTCTCAGCCCTGACTCTCTCTCTCCTCCTCTCCCTCCTGTCTTTCTCCTCTCCCTCTGTTCTCTCAGCCCTGACTCTCTCTCCTCCTCTCCCGTCTTTCTCCTCTCCCTCTGTTCTCTCAGCCCTGACTCTCTCTCTCTCTCTCCTCCTCTCCTCTCCCTCCTGTTTTCTCTCTCCTCTCCCTCTGTTCACTCAGCCCTGACTCTCGCTTCTCCTCT